ACAGCAGAGGTCTGTTGCGCCATGTGGGCCAGCTCCCTGGTGGGGATCGAACTCACCCTGAAGCGACTGTGGTCAGCTTTGTAGTGCTGTGCTTCAACCCATTGCACCACTAGGGAGGGCCCATCCTGGCTGCTTTTGAGGCTGAAAGCACACCAGTAAACCTGCCTCTGGACTCCTTGGCTCGTTCTCAGCCAGGGGGACCAGAGACCTGAGAAAGCAGACCTCTTGGGGGGGGGGCTCCTGCGTATTTGCCCTCAGACGGTCTGGCTGGCTCCTGGCAGTGCCACTTGCCAGCTATGATGGTAACCAAACCATCTCACTTCACAGCATCTTAGTTTCCTGCTCCATAAAGTGGGATTGGCCATTGTCCCCCCTCAGAGGTTCAGTGTGAGGGCTGGATGAGCTCATCATGCCCAGTGCCTGGCATGCAGCACTTGCCACCAACGGGAGCTGGAGCGGCCATCGTGAGTCGCAGCTGCCCTGCGCCCTTGAATAGACTTTCTGTGTTTGAGGAGATTCCCACAGGACAGGCCCCACCGCCCACAGTGGACACTGGCTCCCGCTCCCAGCCATCCTGGGAGCAGCCTGCAGGCCCAGGACCCACTGAGGCTCCTCAGGCAGACACTCCTTGCAAGGCCAGGATTCAGGGAAAGGCTCCATGTTTCGCTGGCTGTGACGGAGACAGCTCCTCCTGGTGGCCTTCCAGGGTTGCAGTCAGCTTCTGAGGACAGAGAGGCTTTGGGTGGAGCATGGGGACAGTGATGGTGACCGCTGCCTTATTCAGTCAGTTCTACAGAGTAATGTGGAGTCTTATTTCTGGAAATTGAACTTGAGCTTGGCTCTCTAGCCCACGCCTGCTCCCTCCCAGCAATCCAGGGGGCTTTGCAAGTGCCTTTTAATGTATTTTTCGCTGTAAATACAACTGGATTCTACTTCCTATGCTTCTAATACCTACTGTAGTGAAAATTATTCTATCACCATTTCCATTATTAAATAAGAATCATCGTGTCCTCATGACCTTCAGACAGTCAGGGGGACTGAGGGGGACTGAGACCGGCTAGTGTTGGCTGGTAAGTCAATCCCAAGTTTCCTTGTCCGGGACTTAGGAGAGGAATGGGGGTTGGGAGTTGGGGAGTTCAGTAGCTTACCTGGAGTAGCAATGGCTAAGAAGACCTAATTTCCACTCTGCCCTCATCTAGCCTTCATATTAGGGCTCCATACTGCTCCTGAAGATCTGAATAGACCCAAGACAAGTCTCCCACCCCCTACCCCCCCATCATAGCCTTTCCTCCTCCAGGTTTTTCTTGCTCAGCTGTGCTGAGGGCTCTGGACACCAGAGGGCGATAAATACTTGTTTTGGAAGGACATGCTTGGCAAGATTTTTCATTCTTGTTCAGTTACTAAAAAAAACGACTTGGTGATAACGGTCCTATAGCTCCAAAGTGTCAAATGACATGTGCACCTTGCTTACAGATTACATGTGAGGAAACAGACCCACAGAGGTGGGAAGCTGTGCCGGAGGTCATGTGATTAGGATGTGAGCCTAGACCATCACTTACAGAGGTCAGTGCTAACAAGGCAGTTTTCATGCAGAGGCATGTAAGAACTGGGGTAAAAGGCAGGTCAGGAGAGGTCTGCTGCGCCGTGTGGGTCAGCTCCCTGGCTAGGGGTCAACCTTGTGCACCAGGGAGGGCCTGGAAACAACACCTTTCTCTTTAAAGCAGCTTCATTCAGACTCTGTTTCCCCCAAGGAATTTCCAACAGTCATTCTGAGCACTCCGTAGGTCACACTGCATTTTCCAGGCTGTGTTCAGGCAACAAGATTATCTGTACCAGTATCCTGGGTTCCGTAAGCTCTTCTAGAACTCTGCCATCATCAAGAAAGGGAGACTGCACAGGGTGGATCTCGGCATCCATGCAACCTTGTAACTGCCCCTGCGAGGTGATCAAGTGCCATGTGCTTCATTTGTTGTGTTTGCTCTCGAAAGCCAGTGGCCTTGTGGCACAGGAGCCGAAGCAGCTTGTGGAGAGTTCTCTTGAGGAGGAAGCCAGGCCTCCTGCACAGCTCCATCTGAGAGCCTAGCTGACAGATCACCTTGCCACCATGTAAGTGCGCCACCTTGAAAGCGAACCTCAACTTGCCAGCTGACGTTGCAGAGAAGAGGCAAACCTCTCCCACTGCACCTGCCCCCAGGTGCAGATTGAAGGTAAAGAAATGACTGGGCAGAGTGACAGGAGACAGATGCACTTTCCTCCCCTCCCTGCCTCACTCCCTTCATCCACAGTTGTACAAAGTCTCAGAGCCTTTCCTAGGGCCAACAAGACCCTGGTGCCAGGTGTTTTTGCCACAGAGCCTCTGGGTCTTCTGCCATGTAGCACCTGTGCCACCTGTGGGTGGGGTAGTCTTCTGGGAACCCCCATGGCCATGCCCTTTGGAGGTCTTCCCATACCACCATCTCCCCAGCTTCAAAGTCGGTCATTTGATAACTTCTCTCCAGGCTTTCTAGGGGTGCTCCTGGCCCCTTTCTCCACCTTTAGGAGTCCGGCTTCACTTCTAGAATGCATGGAAGAGTTTGACAGAAAATGGATGTGTCTCTCACTAGAGGCGGCTCTGCCAGAGAACAAAAGGCAAGCTATGGCTAATTAAGCCTCTACCTGCTAGGGGGGAGGAGAACCCAACCAACCCAGCGCTGCAGGAAAGAACTCAGTCACCCTTCTGCTCCATGACTGGCACTTCTCTTCCACTGGGGGCTAGGAGACTAGGCCAAATGGCAGTGCCATAGGCCTGGCCGAGAGGGCCACATGTGTCTGCCACAACCTGCACCCCAACCTCTCCCTGGTCATGTTTCAAGTATCTAAAAACCTGGAAATCTCTGTCTAAAAGGCCCAAGCCCAGTTTTTGAGCTGACCAAACAGTTTTCCCGGACCCCGAGGCCTCTAGAGAGGTGACAGCGTGCAGGGTAGGTAAGGGCATGTGCAGGTGGCTGGGTGTCCTAGGTTCTTGTGACACGGACGGAGGTGGGGCTAGGAAAAGGCCAAGTGGGTGGGCTAAGATTGGCTCAGGACCTGCCCTGTCTTGCACCGCCATCATCCTGCACAGAATGCCAGAATTAGAGTCCCAGAATTCTAAATTTGAACATAACTTCCTTGGTCATTAAAAGTTATAATTCTCATGGCAGGAGAATAAACATTTTATTGCACAGTCTGTTACATGTTGACCTATAAGGTTTGTAGGCCTCAACTTTTACTATTAGTTATAGGGTGATTCCGTGGAATAGGACTTTGGGGTTCTACAGGGAAATCTCTTCTAGGGCGCTGGGAGGTTGGTGGGGTAGTATGGCAGGCATTCTAGAAACTGCCACAGCTGCCTCCATCTCTAATCTGGAGTGACAGAGACAGGAGGGGTAGCAGATGGGACTAAAGTGATCTGATATCTGCCCAGGGGGCGGGGGCAGAGTGGGGAGGGCTGATGACATCCAGCTGCTTTGCCAAGTGCCATCACCATCACAAACACACCCAACTCGAGGTGAGGGGACTTGAAGCAGGGTAGAAGAAGAGGGCATTCTATATCTATTTGCAAGGGTTGTCTGGGAACCCAGCCTCAGACAGAAGAGCACAGTCGTTCTCAAAATGCGGTCCTTAGACCAGAAGCATGGGCATCCCTGGGAGTTTAAGTTCTTGGTCCCTGGCATAGAAGATGGTGTCTTTCTGTGGGAGGACAACAGTGGGACACTCGTAGGCTTTTAAGATTCTCCAGCTTGGCTCTATGTAGCGGTTCTATGAAACAGACATTTTACTAGAAGAACATTTATTGAACATGAATAGTGTCCAAGAGTGTGCTGTTACACACTTCATGAGCACGATCACATTGAATCCTAAACTGGTGCTTTGCTGCTATTTTTACTCCCACTTTAAGGGCTCACCTCTGAGATCAAGTGCCTTGTCTTGGGCCACAGGACTCCCAGGAGGCCCCCTTGGTCTGGGGATGATCAGGCCACACTATCATCATAATTCTACAAAGTGATTCTCAAACGTGTGATTCAGAATCACCTGGAGGCCTTGTTAAAATAAATTGCTAGGCTTCTCACCAAGAGGTTTTGTATTCAGAAGGCCTGGGATAAGATCCCCAAACACACATTCCTAACAAGTTCCCAGGTACTGCTACCATCGCTGGTCCAAGTCCCGAGCTTTGGGAACCGGCTGGGTTCCAGCTCCTCACCCTACTCCACCCATGTGAAAAAAATGCCTCCTCCCACAAAGAGTCCTTGTGAGAGGCCAATGAGATAATAGGAGTGAAAGAGCTTTGTCAGCTGCACAGGTGAAAGGCCCTGGTCATGACCCAGTAACTGTAGAGAGGCTAGTCCCTGAACCCTGGGAGTCCCAGGGTGGGATGCAGGCAGGCATCTGGGTTTCTTTTGTTTTGTTTTCTATGCCACCCAACTTTAATTTGCCACTGTCTGAGAGCTTGGACAGCAGCCGTTCCTGTCCCTCGCCTCATCAACCCATGCCTCCTCTTGCACCCACCCCCGCTTCTCTAAACTGGTCTATAAAGCCGGTGTAGGGTGTGTACCCTCTGTATAGGACTGAGAACTCAAAGGCCAGTATTTTTACAGTGCTTGGCACAGAGCCCATCCCTCGCAGCGGGTTCAACTAGTGATAACTGTTAGTATTTTCAAAAGTCCTGGGCCGCCTGCTGATAGTGGCCGGGCAGGGAAAGCGAACTGGTTTTGCTGCATGCGACACTCCCGCCACCAATGCCAGTCCGGGGACCCGAGGCTTGACTGCCTGGGGCTTGGGGTTGGCTGAGCAGGACCGGATTAGGGAAGTATGGGGATGGAGGAAAGGGGCGTGTCTGGGGCAAGAGTAGGCCGGGATTGGTCAGGGCGTCGTGGGGGGGGCGGAGCAAGATACGAGGCCCCACCTACGTTGGGGCGGGGCTGATGGTGGGCTCTAGGGGGCGTGTTCGGGGCGGGGCCGGACCCAGACCACTGCTTTCTCTAGGCTCCGCGAGCCTGAGTGATTGAGCCCAGGGCGCCGTCGGCTGACTGGAGCGCGAGCGGAGGATACCGAACTTGCAAAGTCGAACAGAAAACAGACTTCGCAGGTGAGAAGGGGCTGGGGGGAGGACGACCCGACAACCGTAGCAAAGTTACTTTTCGCCCCTACCCCCCGCACCTGCGTGGGCAGCTTTCTGGAACGAGTGACGGATCGGATCGGGCCAGCGAGGCAGTTGTGAGTGATGAGGAGCGTAAGGTTCGAAGTTCTGACTCCAGGTTCTCCGACTCTCATGCACCAGCTGTGCGACCCTCACCCGAATCCTTCCGCCCGAAACTGCACCCTCGGGTTCCAGGAAAAGGAGGGGGCTGAACCTGGTGAGCTCCATGCTCCCGTGAGTGACCTTCTTCCCCTAACCCCAGACGGTGAGGGCTGGCAGGTGAGAGTGAACTGCGGTTCAGCCACAGGTATCAGATGGTACCGCTCTTACTGTGTTTTCTCTCCCTGCTGCCCACCATTGAGCAAAGCTGACTCTGCAGGAGATGAAGATAATTGCTTTAAAGGTCACACTAGTTCTCAGAGGCTTGAACCCACATGATGTGGAATTGATGTCCCGTCAGGGAGGTTTCAATCTGTGCCCTCGCCCCCGCCCCAAACTCTTAGAGCCCTAAGTTTGGAAACAGCTAGCTTTTGTCACTGCCCCCGCCCCCCCCATCAGTCCTGGCGGGGGAGGGGGGGGTTGGGGGGGGTTTTCCAGGTGAGCTAGTCTGGGAGGCCCAGGGCAGGCAGAAACCTGGGGACTAGTTCTGTTTTCAGGGTGAGTGGGGAGGGGGGTGGAAAGGGGAAACCCCAGAAAGCTCTTGCTAAATATCCAGGGTTGTTAGGTCTTTGGTTTCGAGGTTTCTGTCCCTGGTGGTGGACAGCTGTGCCAGGTCTCTAGTAGCTGGGCATCCCAGGTATGTGATCAAGGGCTTGAACTTTGGCACCAAACTGATTTAGATTCCACTCCCCTTCCAAGGCTCAGTTTATCATCTGTAAAATGGGGTAATGACAGTACACAATGGTAGTAGTGAGAATTAAATAGAATAATGAATGTGCAGTGCTAGCAAGGGGCCAGGTACTCGCTGAGGCCTCACAACCTAACAGCTGCTCTCATGTGGGTGAGCAGGTGACAGCTGGCTTCCTGTTTGGGAATAAGCCCATTCTGGAGATCTGGAGGCCGGCCCCTCCTGGCCTCGCGAGTGCCAGAAATTGCCACCTGCCACCAGCATCACTATGTCCATACTGCAGTCTGGGGAGTCTTTCACCTGGACCAAAAAGTGGCTGGGTTTTCTGTAATGCTGATTGCTGGAAGTTGGTGGGTGTCCAGCTTAACAAACCCAGTTGTACTTACTAGGGAATACAGAGGTGAACGAGCCAGACCTGAATTCTGCCCTCATGTTGAACTGCTGACCGTGGGGCCTCCACCATCCCCACCATCCCCATGCTGGCGAGAATAACTCACAGCCCGGGTTTGGGACCAGATGAGATTTCATGGTCTAGGCTCTGGTGGCTGGAATCCAGCTGTTCCATTGCACGCTTGGCTTGGGGTGGAGGTGAGTGCTAGTGTGGGCACCTGTTACCTGTTTGAGCAGGTTGACCAAAGGAGAGTGGGAGTGCTACATGCTACTCCCTGCATCTCATGGGGAGGACAGCCCTACGCTTTGAAAACAGCTGGGAAGCAGGGTGGGACAGCGCCTGGAAGCTGCACTGTGTGTGTGTGTGGGGGGGTGCGAGGGGTGGGGGGCGGGGTGAGTTGTTCAGAAGTGAGACACTAGAGAAACCAGGTGGGCATGGAGGCTTCTTGGAATCAGGGCTCCAGCGGGACTTTCTGCCTTGGTTCCCAGTCTGGACTGGGATCAACTTGGGCTACAGACTTCCCTCTCCAAGCGCCGGTGAGGCATAAGATTAGAGTTTGGCATGTTTGGCAAGGGGGGATGGGGAGAGCCAGGAGGTGGTACCCGCACAGGGAGCAGAGAGGTTCAAACAGTGCTTAGTAAGCTGCGAATGGAAAGCCCTCCCGAACCTTCCCCATGATGAATGACAAACCGAACTGACTACACAAACTCTCCTCACTTCCCCTGCTTAGTCACTAAACGCCTGGTGAGGAATTAAGAGCAGGACCCCTCAGAGGTGACTCTGAGAAATGACTAGCGGGAATTTTCAGGAAGGAGATAAGATTTGAGTGGAACTTAGAGAGTGGAAGAGTTTCTGCAACCAGAGCAAAGACTCTTTTGGGCAGAGGAAAATGCTTAGGCAGAGGCATTGGCGGTCAGGAGGTTTGGGGAAATCGTTAAAAATAAAACATCCAGGCTCATCGGTGGGCGGAAGAGTTGTGCTGGGATGTGAGTGGGGTGGTCAACTCCTGGAGGGCCTTGAATGCCGAGATGAGGTGCTTGGATCTGGCTTAGACAAAGTGGGAGCCACAGGAGGTTCCCGAGTAGGGAGTGACATGGCGTGAGCCTTCAGGAAAAGCAGTGTGTGCCAGAGGTGCTGGGGTGGAGGCTCCATCAGTCAAGGGGAGAGCGGTGCGGGGAAGGAGGGCCTGGGGGCTTTGGGGTGTCTGCAGCTGGGAATGAAGGAAGGTGGGGCGTCAGGGCACAGGTGCATAGTGTATGATCAGGTCTGTATTCAGCCTAGGTCAGGTTGGCCCCTGGAGGAGGCTGGTGAGCTCTGCAGGGTGGGAGGGAAGCGCTCTGGAGGCCACATACGAGGTGACTGTGAGATCTGGAGCCACCCATGGTGGCTTTGGAAACAGGCTCCATGGGAAGTGCCGCAGCTTTGCCCAGCTAGTACCAACCCAGGATGCCAGGTGTGAGGGGTCCCCAAGTTCTGGCTCTGGCATTAAGGCTGCCCGTACCACTTGTTTATCCATGTACCTCGGCTCCGCAGAAGTTTCTGTCTCTCTTAAGACCGAGGACTTTGAGCCACTGCCTAGAAGTACCTCCTCCCCACCCCCCACTCAGCTCTGGGGAACCAACCCCAATATCGCACCAAGGGTCAGACCGCTCTCCACTGGCCTGGGTCACAGCTGAGCAGCCCCTAGCCCTGAACATTCCTTTGGATCTGCACACCTGCGGCCAGCTGGCAACCGATCTGGGCTTGGCCTTGACCCCTTGCTCCAAACCATTTTGCACCTTCCTCCACCCCACCAGGAGCTCCGAGGGGTGGGTAATGATTTAACCAAGAGTATCACACAGTCAGGACGTGGCTCCATGAGAGGTGGGAAAGGCTGGAAGAATCTGGGGTCTCTGTGGGGCCGGATGGAGGCACAGACAGAGGTCGGGGCTGGTTTAATCTCAGCAGGAGCTGCCCTGCCTACCAGCTTCTGTCCTCTAGATCTGGGTCTGAGTGGCCAGGAGGGGAAATCCAGCAGTGAACAGGCCAGCGCTACTTTCCTTCTCCCCTCGCCCCCTCCCTACCCTCGACCCAATGCCAAACGCAGGCCAGGATATCTGTCCTGCAGCACAGTTGGTGCCTTGGGGTCCAGCTGGTTCCTGACTGACCCCTGGGGTTCCCTCCTTCAGGGTGGTTTTCCTGTCACAGCTGATTCACTCTGCTGACATAGGGAGGCAGCTGGGTGGGAGCGGGGCTGGTGGTCAAGAGGCCTATATCCTGGTTCGTGGGTTAGTGAGTTCCAGCCCCTCTGTTTACAGGCCGGGTGACCTTCAGTAAGTTCCTTCACCTTTCTGGGCTTCCTTTCCCTGCTCTGCTACTTTTACTCAGCACTCAGGTTTTTTAAATATGGATCTGTCAGTGGCCCAGGGGCACATCTCATACACACACACGCAACCACTGCCGAGGGTCGGAGGTGCAGAGCGCATGGCTCTTCACAGAGGGTAATCAGAGGTCCCGTGTCCTAAGCGTGCTTCACCTGCCCCGAAGCCTCTCATCCACCCGCGGCCCGTCTGCAGATTAGGGAGGTGGGATCACACAGGGCTGAAGGTTGGACTCTGGAACTCGAATCTCGACCTGTGCTGTTCTAGTTCCGATGCTCCCTGAGTCCGCAGCGTGGCAGTTCCATACGGAGCAAGCACACGGTCGTGCTCAGTTAGCTGTAACCACCGCTGCTGCTGTTTTCACTTTCTGTCTCTGGTCAGTCTTTCACTGCTTGTGCTGGGCTGCTTCTCGGGCCTTCAGGAACGTTCCTCAGGGGAAATAGGGGGAGCACCCTCCTACATACCTCCCTTCTGCGTGTCCCCCTCCTCCCCACCCCCGTATCTCCACCACTCGTGCGTGTGTCCCAAGACACTGGTCATTTCCGGCTTGGTGGTGCTTCTGGGCTCTTCCTGGGGGCCCTTGGGTGTCCCCAGTGGGACTCTAAGCTCTCTGGGGGGCCGTCGTCTCAGCACGGTCCATGACAGCTTCTCAAACCCTTGTTTTCCTTGCTTGTCTCTGCTTGTCTGCACAGGCCCCTTCCTCATGGGCCAGCCCCTTTGGTAAATGGTGAGGAGTATCCTCCTAGGCGGGGCTAACTGTCCATTTGTCTCCTTGACCCCTGGCCCGAGGCCTGGCACATCGCAGACACGCAGGAAATGAGGGTTGGATGAACAAGCAAGTGGTTCTCCTCAGGGTGACTCCCGCTTGGTGCCGGGTCCCCAGTGACTCCTTGGCACAGGCCGAGGGAAGAAGCGAGGGAGGTCCGGATGCCCCCACTTTGCCCCTCAGGCCTGCCTGTCCCTCTCCTGAGTCTGGGAGAGGCGGGAATGCTCGGCTGGCTTGGGGCTGCCTGTGTCAGGCTTTGGCTTCCGAAGCCTGGCCTTTGCCCTCCTGAGAGGGAACAACCTAACTTCCCCCAGCCCTGGCCTGGTGAGGTGCCACGCTGGCCCTTAGTGAACCCTGACTCAGTCAGATAAGACATCTTCCTTCAGCCAGCGGTTTTTTCCCAAGGTACTTTTGTTCTGTTGGACTCAGGCTCAGTGTTGGGGGAGTGGGCAGGCCCCTCTGGAAAGCCTTTGCTGACATCAACCTTGCACACCCCTGGGCGGGCAGCTCTGGGGGGCCCCTCCATTCTCCCCTTTGGCTGCTTCCCTGCAGTCGGTGATGCTGCCCTTTCTTGGGCCCCACCCT